TTTGTGTAATTAAATGGTGATATGCTACCTGATTCATTTTCATTGTCATTTTATTTTATTATATTGTTAAATATTTTACCATGCAATTATTATTTTTCAGTAGGGCCTGACCTGACCTCGTCACTACTCTACCGAGGTTAGGCTTGCCACTCACTGGGTACCGTTGTGGTGTACTCATACTACGCTTCTGTACATCTTTTTGTGCAGATCCAGATACTCATTACCAGCTCCGACATCAGTGAGTTACCTGTACACGGAGACTTCAAGGTATATTTGCCAGCGTCCGAAGATTCCGGAGTCCCCTTCTATCATTATTATGTTGCTTCCTTATTTTCTTTAGACCTTGATATATATAGAGACATTGAGGATAAAATTCTTAGAAGCTTGTGATTTATTTCTACCAGGTTTGGGGAGTTGCAATTATTTAAAGTTTCAGATTTCTATTTTTATTTTGCGTTGATAGGCTTACCTAGTCTTAGAGACTAGGTGCCATCACGACATCCTACGGAGAAAATTTGGGGTCGTGACACATTCCATATAGAATCTCTTTAAAATCTTTTTAGTGTATGCTGATTGATGGACAAAAATTCGATCTTTCATATACTTAATTTGTAGACCAAGACAAAATTTTGTCTTTTCAAGATCTTTCATTTCAAAATCTTTATTTAAATAGTCTATTGCTTTAGGAAGCACCCTAGGAGTTCCAATGATATTTAAATCATCAATATACACGACGATTATAACAAATTTAGATCCAGATCTTTTTATAAAGACTCAAAGACAAATTAAATCATTCTTGTACCCTTCTTTCAACAGGTACTCACTCAGGCGATTATACAACATGCGTCTTGATTGTTACAATCTGTATAAGAACTTTTGAAGCTTTATTTAATAAATTTCTTGGAAACCTTAATATGCTTCAGAACAATTTAAATCCTTCAATGATTTCTATTATACGCATATCACGTTTTTCTTGTATTGCCAGATTAAAACCTGAAATGACGACATCCACCACAGAAAAACATGTCTCTATATAATCAATGCCAGGATATTTACAAATCTTCTTGTGACACAAGTCGTCTTTATGTCTATCGACTTTGACCTTTTTTCGCACAAGAACACATTATACCTCCACTGGCTTTATACTTTCAGGTGTTGGGACTATCCGTTCAACTTCATATTTTTCAGGTGAAATCAATTTTCATTGCGTATTTTGTATTTGGCCAATCATTTATCTGTCCAAATTTCATGACAGATTTGAGCTCAAGATCCTCGTCAATATTAATAATATTGAGCACTACATTATATTAACAATATCGCCGACGATCATTTTATATCGGTTCTACTATTACCCAATAAAGACATAACTTATTGAGATCTCTTTATCTTATTATTTTTAGGTACCTGAGCCTCTCCCATAAGGTCTTATGAAGTGTTATGTCATGGTGCTCTTCTAGAGCACTTGCCTCCTTATTATGACCATCTTGAACATTTGTTCCTCTCCTTCTTCAAGGAGTTTTATCTTTGGAATCGATTAGTCTATTATGCTTCATGCATGTCATAGACTCTATTCATTATGAACTTTATTTTATTTGGAGCATTAGCGGCTTAATATGACATTTAACTTTAGGTCAGCAAATACACCTGACAATATTTTACAAATGAATTATCACTTGAACTTCAAGTTCACATTTTCTCGTACGAGGATCTAAATGTACTCATAATAATTCACTACATGCATTACTTTTACAGCTGTCCATTTTCTCCCCATATTGTTGGGATCACCAACACATATCCCTAGCCTTATTTGGGGATCCATCTTTGTGGATTGTGGTGGAACAATTAAATCATATAGCACTTTCATATTTCTAGATGGAAATTATTTGGTTTCTGACCCTGTACCGATTGTGATAGGGAGAACTTATCATAACTTGACTAGATGCGTACAAGTGATATTGTATATTAAATAATACATCACATACCAAATTTTATTTTGGCAGTTTTGTTCTCATAACCAATGGTTTAGATATAATTGGAGGCATAGAATTTCTACTAAATCGACTTGGATTTAAACCAGTATTATCAAGATAAATCATCATAATTTATATTCTAGAACTGTGCTCTAATAATTTGAACAATCAATCTTGCAAAAGCCAAACTGCAAATTGATAACAAATGCACATGTGACCATAGAATAGATGCATATATTAAAATTATATAATAGTAAACGGTCCACATGGCAGGTGACTGTACCTATATATTTATCACCTTTTATTTGTTCCATACAATAGTGGGTTGCTCTAGTGGTGAGGACCCTCCACTTCCAACTAAGAGGTTGTGAGTTCGAGTCACCCCAAGAGAAAGGTGGGGAGTTCTTGAAAGAAGGGAGCCGAGGGTCTATCGGAAACAACCTCTCTACCCCAAGATAGGGGTAAGGTCTACGTACACACTACCCTCTCCAAACCCCACTAATGGGATTATACTGGGTTGTTGTTGTTGTATTTGTTCCAGAAATTAAGGAATTCAATCCCAACCTTAACCGGTATATCATGAGAATAAGCAGCACAAAAGAATTCTTGAAGAATCTTCTATTTCTTCAATATATGCCAATGTAATTCTCAATTAATTTTTCGCATCATAATTGAACCGGGATGGTCAACCGGTCATTCCAACTAATATTTGTTTCAGTAAACCTCTAGTTTACTTGTGACATATGATTCCATCATCATGGTTGTATTTGTGTAGTACAAATAGAAAGAAAATCGGGTAACCTTTCATATTTACCCGTTATGATTATAGAAATATGAAGATATTCAATATTCCTTTTATTTAAAGTCTTAATATGCCAACCACTTTGACTTATACATTTGAAACTTAAAACATTTCTCTTGAGATTTTACAATATCAATGTCGTGAATAATTTTATTCATCCGGGTAGTGACAAATTAATTTTTCCAGAGCTCTTAACAACTTTTGTACTACAAGATCTTTTGTCATACCATTCATATGGTAAATGTCTCCTTCACGGAGAAAATTATATCATAATAAATTGTCATGGTCAAAATCATCATAAGCAAAATCATTTCTTGCTTTAATTTTGCCTTTAATAACCTTTTATAAGGCACAACAAATTATTTTTTTTTTTTGGCGTATCACATGTACATGACCAATGACATATTCATGTAACCACACAATAATATTTATTCTCTTTATTTCACTCAAGCCTCCCTTAGAGGTGAGTTGTGCGGTATTCATCTAATCATGCATTGCATGTCTTTATTCATTACTTTTATCACATATTGCTACATTCGGAATGGGTCTGCATTCTCAATGCTTATCACAAGTCACATTCTCTTCAAGGAATGGATCATAATCAGCGGCGTGCTTTATTATTTTTCATACAAATTTGATGGTAAACATTGCCTTCACATTTTGAGAACCCTTATTGTTCTCCTTTTATAATCATAGTGATGATTATTATTATTTTGATCTTTGAAACGCTCACGTTTCAACCACTTGTCTTCATTTAGACTTATTATGCGCCGCTATTACATTCACTTCAAGAATGGAGCAAATCAAGTGAGACAATATTCATGCTTTTTCATGAAAAATATATTATTTTTCTTTAGTTATCATTATATCATCAATATGGTATAGTGGGACTCAAACCCAATGTCTTACCAATATAAAGGCATGTTAGACCATAATAAATTGGGACTCAAATCCAACTCTTATCATCATGGAGCATCAGGACTTGATCCTGATGTCTTACCCTCATGGTACATTGCGACTTGAACTCATTGAAGTTGATATCATTAATAGCAAAGGACAAAAAAAATCAAATACGAAGGAAATGCTTACCTCTTGAGTTAAACTCTTCATAATATCATTTGGATATAATTCTCAACAATAGACTTTCGTTTACTCAAATCAGCTAAGTAATTAGTGTCAAACAGATATATGAAAATACAAAATAATATTAAAAATTCACACGTGATCTTTGCTGCAATAAGCTTACTTCAAGATGATAGTGATATGACCAGAACATTAAGGAAAAATTATATATCAAACAGAATAATAGTACTACTAGTTACCATGTACTTTTGTGAAAACTAAGTATTATACTCTCTAGAAAAACAAAAGGATATAGCAGAACCTTTAAGTCAATCAGGGAATAAAAAAAATAGTGGACAAATCTCTGTCTATTATCTACTACTATATGTTTTTCATATAGAAATGATTTAACATGTTAATTTGATAAGAACTATCATCAATGAAAATTTTGGTGTAGTACATATTTCTTGTACTAATATTTTATCTTATCAAAATAAAATAGTACGAATATTATTATTATTATTATTATTATTATTATTATTATTATTATTATTATTATTATTATTATTATTATTATTATTATTATTTTATATTTGACAGTAAACTATATAATCATTATACTAGGCATACTAAAATCGTATTATAAGGTAAAATCATAAGCATACATAATAAAGTAAAATTTTAATTTTGTAGATTATTTAGTATACCGCATGCCACCTATTATTTAGTTCATGAAAATTTAACAAGGTGACATCCTTAGCAGCCACATAAATACTAATTTTCTAATAACCAGACCATTGCTTATTCTAAATAGTAGTACAAACTTATCTGATTTAAAGCTTGAACTTGTTGTTGTGGCAGAAAGACGTGTATGTAACACTACATACCTTTCTGAATAAAATCTGGATTATTTAGACAATAGATCATCGAGATATACCTTACCATAAGTGAAATTCAACCTTGAGGTTAGAGACTTCGTGTTGATAACATGTTATAAAATATAGCTCAAAGTAACAATATAGAACAAGAAAAAACAAGCTAAGAGATATATAAAGAAAGAGAGGAGAGATTCTTATTTCTTCTTCAATTGTGTGTATTTTCCTATCTATTATAATACATTTATATAGGCATGAAAAGCGAAGAAAAATATGTCATTAATCATTTGAGAATCATGGAGGAAGAGTAGACATCCACCATAATTTGATTTTTCTTATAACAATATTAACATTGTAAGAAATTTTTACACTATCATATCACCTAAAAGCCATTTATAGGTACCTGTTATAGCAAGTATGGACTGGTAACCTGCAAAGCATGTTAAATAACCTGTTATCGTAGGTAAATTAAACTATGTGTAATTGTTTTTAGCAACGTCGATGTATATAAGTTAAACTCTACTAAAAATTTCCTAGAAACTCATATCCTTTCAGGAGGTATTTCCTTGAAGATATTTTAAGACAAACTTGCACTTTATTTATGTATTTTCAAATCTGTAAGGGCTATGCAAAAGCTCCTTGTAATCAGAGAGAAAAGAAATGCAATAGGAGACATCAGACCAGCTTCAGGATCAGATAATTTTACTCATAATATCATACAGCTACAATACGTTCCCAAAACTATCTTATCTTGCATAGTCTCATGGATTTTCTCAAGCCGTTCAATTATTTCTTGAAAGGAGGGTCTACGATCAGGGTTCTTGTGCCAGCATTCACGAAGCAGCCTGCACACAATGTCATGTCAGTTCTCGTTGTGTCTCTGGGCAGGTCTCTGATCTTCTATGGATTTAAGTTACATATACTAACAGTATCCGTGAATTTAACATGTGATAGCAGGTTTGTTACCATTTTTACTAGGTCACCAAGTAGTGTTTATAATAGTGATTTAATGACTTGATTGTGTAAATACTTTTTACACCTAATGCATAGAACTTAAACTCAATTTTCTATATGCTGAAGGGAGCTGAGATTGGCTATAGGAAATTTTAAGGATGAAGTACCTAGGCATTTAATCATATATATGCTGTGATGTACAATCAGCAATTAGAAAGCAAGTGGTAATAGCAATCAAAAATAGACACCATAGGATAGCATATAAAAGGAGTAACCAACTCTCCATGTGATTGGAGTGCCTATCTAAGATTCTCTTTTATAAGGGTGGTGCTCGAGCCAGCTTTGCATGCATCTAGATTAATCTACCAGGTACTTGTTATCTCCCACTGGCACATGTACCTAAGATTTTCTAGCATATAAAAGGAGTAACCAGCTTGAAACCCAGAAAAGAAGGGGAAAGATGCTTTGATCGTTATAGTGTTTAAACACTTCTATTACAGAAACCAAAAGCTGGGAAACACACAGCCACATTTACTTCGTCAACTAAACTGGTCCTCCAGATTCTTGCCACAGAAACCAAATTTGAGAAATACTACTGCCTATAAGAATGCAACTCCATTACCTTTATTTTTTTAGAAACAGAAAACAAGGTGAATATATTTTTCTTTTTCCCGTTGTATAATTTAGACTATAAACAAAGAAGTATAAGAGAAAGAGAGGTTTGGACTAACTAGCATTCGCTTTTTTCTAAAACCCATTCCTTTACAACTGAAGAAGGTGAGTCATTAATTTGTTCTATGCACAAAATTATTTCTTTCACCTTTCAAATCAAGAAACATTTCCATGATTTTGCCATCCAAACAAGTTCAATATTAACACTCATTTTTCAGCAAAATTAATCAAAACACACTCACAACTTTCAGTAAAAACTACTTCAAAAATACTATACTTCCACTTCCCCCTTAACCTTGAAAAGAAAAATGAAACACCACTGAAAGTTCAAACCACCAATAGGGTCACATATCGTTTAGACAGTCACGAAATACAAACTATAACAATTGGACTTCGATGATCACCACATAAGCGTAGTTCTTGTTAGCAAAAACTGGAAAATTTGTAATGTTTGAAAATGCAGAAAAAAACAAATAACTTACGTCTTGATTGGCTCAGGAAATATGTATGAAGCTAGATATGGCCGATAATCTTCGTATGCTGTCTTATCTGCCACTTGCTCTGGAGCTTCCTCCCTATTTGATGGTCCTCCTTGGAACATCTGTATTGCAGAAGCATATATGTGCCTAGATTTTACTTTACACTTAAAGAAACAATGTTGCAAGGCCAAGAATATGCTGATTTAGCATAATTTAAAATGATCAAATTGTGTGTAGATTGTTTCCCTAGATACAATATTCTTATGGTTCGGGGCCTAATTTTCCTCAGCGAGATTTGAGAACACAAAGTACCAACTTAGCATCTAATAGGTGTATCATGTATGGCAAACTTTTAAAATAAACTCTGATGACAAAGTAGGGAAAAGTTATGCAGATCATCTGTTAGAGTAAATGTAAACATGTAAGTTCAACTCACCTCGTGGACAATTAGAGCAAATGAAAAAATATCAACACTCTTCCCATATGATTCTCGACGGTAAACTTCTGGAGCCATGTATCGATCTAGTAAACATGGATATAATTATATTTGGTAAGTCAACTGACCAAGGAAAAGGAAATACAGATTAACTTAGTAATACGCTGTACATGATCCAGTCCCTCCAGTCATTTTGTAACCATAAGAATCCTTCTGTTGTGCAATTTTACTGAGTCCAAAGTCTGTGACTTTAAGATGTCCTGCTTCATCCTGCAATACATTTCTGCAGGAGTAGAAAGTTGATATAATAGCTGCACAGAAATCATAAATCTGAACTATAAATGTATTTTCTACTCTCTGAATTGACAAGTACCAATGGTTTGATGATCTGAGCTAAATGTAGCTAGTAAAACTGCCAGTACCTAGGAGTCAAATCTCTATGGATAATAGCATGAGGCTTATGCTGATGTAGATAATTCATTCCTCTGCAAATGCGAACAGAGAACTTAGGATATAGCTGCTTAAAAGAGTATGTAATAGTATAACATAACCACAACAAAGTGAGGCCGACAATTACTTCAATGTTTTAGAAGACATTTTCATAATGACGAGCACCAGGCTGAGAACAAATAACCAAGAATTACTTCCTCTATTCTGTAAGGAGGTGAAGAACAAAGAAAGCCAGCTAGGATGTCTAGAAATTTCATTCTTCAATCCATCTTTTTGGCAGTTGATACTTTGCATTAAATACTTTGCAGATTGCACTTAGTTCTCTACACCTTGCAACATTAAAGCATCTTTCTACCTATGGTCGTGGCCAATAATTTTTAAGGGGAAATTTGGTCATTGCTTGGTTCTGTTCAGATAGAGTTCAAACTCTATAATAAGTACATATAACATATTTAAATTAAAAACTCTGGCTATAAAGAATCTGATCCATACATTATATGTGACTGCATCAAACGTATCTTGGCATAATGCATAGTAAGGTTAAAAGCACATTAATGTCTGGAAAAGTGCCTCTTTTCCTATAATTTCAATTAAACCGCTTGGTGATTGCACATAGTACAAGCAAGCTTGATGATTGCATTTACTGAAAAGAAATTACATAATAATAAACTAAAAAAAAATGTTGAGTGGAAACAAAGAAACAGAAATGCTGGTAAATTGTGCTAAAAAGTGACGTAACACTTTGAATTGTAGGCTGACTTCTCATTGAACCTTATACCTTGCAATATCTAATGCATAAGCAACTGCTGTCAGTGAATCAAGTCTTCCTTTCTTTCTCAATTGGTCATACAAGCTTCCCTACATTCCAATTTGTAGAAATATCAGTGCAACCATTACTAAAATCCCCGGTCCTCATATAATAACACTTATATTTCAAAGCTACTAAGGAGTATCACGTGATCAGAGTGCTTCTAAATATCACACAAGACTTACATTTCGAAGATATTCAGTAAGAAAGATCAATCGATCAGATTGCTTTAGAACACCAAGAAACTGCACAATATTGGGATGGCGCAACTTTTGCCATAACGCCAGCTCCTTCAGAAAAGCATTCCTGTCAAGGCTCAGTTATGGATATTATGAATCCGAATGTTAAAAAACCCAATTGACAAAGTTATTTTTATTCTACGTCTTATTAATCCAAATTCTGGAAGAAAAAAAGAATTGGAGATCCACAGAGGCAAGAAAGTGTGATCCACAGAGGCACGAAAGTGTGAGATCAGTGGAGTTGGTAAGATTGGTAAGTCACCCTCCCATGCAATATAAAATGGCCATAGAAGTTATGTAAGAGTCCATTACTTGGCGGACAACCTTTTGGCAAGCATTTCACATATAAACCTGGATTTATCTCCTTGGTAGTACTGTCGATTCTTAGTGATACTGAAGATATAGAAGACCTTAAAAGTGATTGTACAGGATATAAAAGAGCATGAAACAGTTAACCACTTCCAATCAGTCCTATCAGTTGCGTATGTGATTTTTAAATTACAGCCCTGGAAAAAATCCGTAAACTTACTTCACCATTGGGTTTGATGCAATGGAAGCACGAATGGTTTTTGCAGCAACTTCTGTACCGCGCCACTTTACCAAATAAACTTCACCATATGCACCCTGCTATTCGCACTCACAATCATTAATAGTCAAAACAAATATAAGGTGACTTGACATATTAAAAGAACATAGTAAAGTTGATATTTGCCTTGGCTTCTGGGTAAGAGAAATTACTTCTCCAATAAGAGTTGCATCCTTCATGTCCACTTCACCATGATCAATTATACAACATGGCATAGGAGAGTCACCCAACTATGTCAAGCAAAAGGAAATGAAGGTAAAAAGAGATGTTGATATCATACAACATTTCCGGGAAATTCACATTATTTAACACAGCAACAGAAATAAAGATAACATAGTAGTAAAGAACATGCAGTTCTAACAAGGATCCTATCTACATTAACTCATCCAGAAGGCGTACTTATGACTTAGCCTGTCCTGTTTTCTTGCTGGGGATTATTGTTACTTAGCTTCCTTCGTCTTTTCACAAAATTATAAGCTAGCTGATCACGAGATAAATGTGAGTTGGAATGCAAAATATAATTCATGCTCACAGAAAAGGGATGTCATGCATGGCTCATAGGATATCATGGTTCAAAATCATACTCATAAACCACTTAAAGTAAAAGAAAAGAAGAAGAAAGAAAAGGAAACAAGAGGATATGTCTCACGGATTTTAACATGCTGTATAGATCCCCTAATTCATCCACTATACTGATAGAAACCCCAAAACCAGCATATGAAGCAACTTCTGTTACAAGTCCAACGTCGAAATTGGAAAGTCAGCTACTGATGGAAGGAAATAAAGGAGTTAGGCGCATGATTTTTAGTTGTTTTAGTTGTAACTGTGAATGGGAAGGGTAGTTGTTAGTTAAATAGGAAATAGGAAACTGCCAACTCGTTGGATTTTAAAAGGGAGGGATATCATTGTGTAAATTCACTGATGGTTTGCTTTGATCTCTCTCTATGGGTTCCTTTATTCCTCTCCCTTCGTATCTCTTTTTCCAATTTCGGTCTCGATTAGTTCACAAGATTGAATGGCAAATTCTCCTCCCAACCCCTCGATTCGATTGTTTTCCAAGAATGTTGAGCCGGGTATGTAAGCCATGTATCTGGGAGGAACTTAAATAAAAGAAGAGCTTTCGGTTGCGTTTGACTCTGCGGTTAACTCTAGCCAGTCTGCTGGAAAATCCGTTTCGGATCCATTCTTTGAGTCGTGTTGACTTGTTTCTTCTTTGATTGATAAAGGAAAGAAATTTAAAGAACGCTTCAAGATTCTGTAAATACACCAATCACAGGCAGATATGATTGAGAATCCATATATTTTATCTACTATTATTCCCTTTTGAAAAGAAGGTATTAGCCAATATGTAGGATTTCACCTACTAGGAAATTGTAAGGCTACTAAGCAGTGTGACAAGAAACTTATGATGGTGTTCTCATTTCATCCAGTCAAAAGCAGTTTCATCATGCATTAAAAAGGAAAGAACCGCTGAGAGGAAAGCATGGAAATCGTATACACAGAGTGGACAATGCAATAATCTGAAACCTATAAAGGGGAAATATATTAAGAACATGATTCGATATCTCAACACCTTAAGTACTATGAGAGTTTTCAAGTTTTAGGAACATTAACCATTAGCTTTGGGTGTGCTAATTCAGTAAATCCATAGTTCTAGATCTGTTAGTTCAAAGAAAATCGACAGAGGATCTTTCAACTCTGCAAGTTCATTAGATTATTTGGTAGTTAGGCACTGTTTCGCTCAGTTTTTTTGTTAAAGTTATGTTTCCTCTTCATGTCATCCAATGCAATTTCGATTGTTTCTCAGGACTAAAAGAGCCTTTCTTCAGGAATTGACCTTATCACTGTTCCATTTCAACAGTTTGGATAATTAAGAATTAATTATTAAGAAACCAAATATGACATGTTTACTTTTGCAACTAAAATCAGATCAAAAAGAAAAAGAAGGAAGAGGAGGAGGAGGAGGAGGAAGAAGAAGAAGAGCGTGGATCTATATTTGCAAACGTTTTTAAAATGGGACAAAGTTTAAACACCGCCTCGCAAAAGGGACACCAATGAAATTTACTGACTTAATTATGTTTTCGACATGCCTATTCATTCACGTGCGGCCCTAATTCTTTTTCATGAGCCCAACCCGTGGAATTTCTATTTGATGATAAGAAATGAATCTTGGGCCTAACTCAACCCTACAAGCTAGCTCATGAGAGGAGGATTGCCCAGGAGACCACAACCTATTCCTTCAGCCAAAGTTCGGACTTAACAACCCACCACACGCCCAGGACTAACAGTAACTGGAGCGTGGGTAACATAAAATGGGAGTCCAACATTGAGAAACACAACAAGGATTGATGGGTTTCGCTCTCATACCATATTGAAGCGTGTGATTATCTCATCTAAAAGTATAAGTTGTCGGAGAGAACACAATTTTATTTACTTAATTATGTCTTCAACAAACCACTAATGTTCCTATATGAGCCAATTAACTAGTATAGCTAGCCGTCCATCTAAGCTTATACTATATGGGGTCGTTTGGTACGTGGGATAAGGTGTGGGATTAAATTTATATTGTGTTTGGTTGACGGTGGGGATAAATTTATACCGTCAACCAAATATAGTATAAATTCAATCCCAAACTTAATCCTGGATATTTCTACCTTATCCTACCTTATCCCATCAAACTTGGGATCATTTTATCTCACCTCCTAGGTTGGGATAAATTAGTCCAGGGATTATAATTCCAGGATAATTCAGTCCGCGTATCAAACCGAAGCAAATAAAGTCACAGATAAAAGTAGTGTGTCCTGAAAAAGACCGGAGATGCTTAGTGTCTGAGTGATTCGGCGAATATAGCAGTTCGAAATATAAGCAAAGTAGTCTGTTGCTCTTTGCATCAGCTTTTCTAGTCAATCTTATTAATAGTAGAAGAATTTCATTTTCAACCATGTATAGCACGAAAAGCAAATTACCCATTATGTTTCCAAGCAGTATTGTGGGACAAAATTAAGATATCAATCAGAGTATACTGTGGCAGAAATCATATGAACGAGAAAAAAGGTTAGGACATATACCGGATCATATCCACCATGTGCCTCTAGAATCTTGCAGACATCCTTGTGATCAAAGTTACGGGCATCAGAAAGTGGCTGCATGAGATTTTGATCAAAGCTTACACTAGTTGAGAAACAAGCTATAGCCCTATATTATAACCTTAAAAGATTGTTACCATAAAAGAAAAGAAAGCGGGAACCATATATCTTCAAGTAAATTTTAGTTATAGCATGGAAGCAATCAATACCACTCCTCCGTGCCACAATATTTAGGTACTCCTCCTTCTAGTCACTTAACTATCTCATTTTAATTCCTTTTTTCAATTTCGAATTGCTAATAAATCCAATTTTTACGGCTCATCAGTTATTCTATAGTAGTATAGGATATAGTAGTATAAAACAGTCAAACCAAATAAGAAAAATGTTATTTGATGACAACAAACAATATAGTCTATCCACACATTGTTTCAACAACATAGTATGGTGAAATAAAAAGGAAACAACAATCCAAAACAGACTGTAAAGGTAATTCACTTAATTGCAATAAGTGTAACTTACAGTTCGACCCCAGCGATCTGTGGAGTTCACATCAGCTCCTTTCTCAAGAAGTAGAAAAACAATCTCTGCACAACCTTCAGAGGCAGCTAAATGAAGTGCTGTTCTCTTATCATAGTCAACCAGATTGGGTTCCACTCCCTTCCCGAGCTCTTGCATTACACCTTCTTTGTCACCCAAACCTGAACAGTGCAGAAGACGATAAGGACCTCCCGAGTCCATTCTTTGAGGTAGCATCTGCTGCTCAAAATGTACCATTAACCAAACTTAGTGCAAGAAAAGCTTCACTATACAATCGATAAGAAGCAAGTGCGTCCATTATAGCAAGCAGAGCGGAGACACACTGGATCACTTCACCTAGAAAATATGTATGTAAACATATTTTTTATAACAATAACATGCATATGACACCGTTTTGAAAAGTAATACAAGTAAATATCGACTTGAGATTCGTTCTCAAAAAACATATATCAACTTGAGATAGAAAGTAAAGCCTTAAACCCACCAACAACCAGTGTACAAGACGAATGACGAAATGAATCAACACCAGTAACGCAAAATCTTGTGTATGCTACTGATGACAAGTGTTTCCTTAAATACTGGACTATTTGCAACGAATAATTTGCTAGCTAGATAATATCAACAAACTTAAAAGTCCATTATATGGGAATGCGATGTGCTTTTCCACGTTTGCCTCAAACAGAATGGAGGATTGAGTGGCTGGAGGCTCTGAATCTCTCTACAAAATCACCTTCTCTTTAAATGCAAAGCAAAGACATGGAACAATTTCCAAGCATGTTATGCATAGGAAATTTTTATGAAAAGTAGAGCCGTAGATTATTTTATTTATATGGTCACCATAACAATAGCTTTGACTATTTAATTCAACATGGTCACTGAACCATAGCTGACTTTTCAAGCTCATTATATTCTCTTTTATATATTTACTTCAACATATTTTAATTTACTTACTTACCAATGTACTCTTATATTTCAACTCTAAATAATTAACTCCCTCGTAAAAGGAAACCCCATATAAATTAGTATATGGGTAGGATCTCTAAAATATTGAGGAATTAAATTTATGATTCTGAAATATGCATCAACTCAATCGTATTGCGACAGGGTTTAGTGCAATTTTGCTCCACAAAGAAAAAATGTAAACATTGATACATATATATGATTGAAACAAAACCAACAGTAATCCAGCCAAAGAAACAAAGTTCTGAAAAAATTAAAAGACAACAAAGAGTTAATTTTTGTCTCCAAGAACATAGCCTGTTTGGTTGGTTAGTAAGGAGAATTAATCACCCTATAAAATTCAGCATAGCTCTACTTTGTTTGGTTAGCATTTTACCTTTTGCCATAAATAATACACATATAAGTTACGCAAGAACCTATCCACTATTTTTATGCGGAAAAAAATTGTGAAATAAGAATGGGAGTGTTGACAAACTTATACTTTTCCTTGTTTCCTCAAATACTATGAATTTCTAGATTAATCCCTGCAATGTAATATTTACATTATCACTTGTTACATTACAAATCTTGCATTACTAATTCCTCCATATATATGTGTGTGTGTGTGTGTGTGAAAAGCCACTAAAAAGCTAACAAATATTACATTTTCAATTGATAATTTCAAAATTACAATAAGTTTAGTACTTAAAGTTTTACAAATTGAAACCACAAAGTTTAGATCTTGGATTCGCCTCTTCGACGATTTTTTTTCTTTTTTGGTTTCCAACCAGGTGTTCGAGACCCGCTTTGGAGCCCCGATTCATCCGGATTCGCGCGCGTAAGGCCCGTTAAAGGGGGAAGCACGCTTTGGAGCCCCGACTAATCCAGATCCGCACGTGTAAGGCCCATTAACGGGGTAAGAATTGTGTACTATGATTTTTTCCATCCGCATGACTCGAACTCGAGACTTATGGTTAAGAAGGGAGGTATCCTACCCATACCACCATAATCCTTGGTGGTAAAATTCCTGCATAACTTGTATAGGAACCAAATGACCCTATACACAAGTTATGCTAGGATAATAATTCAATAAAAACAAAATATAACAATCAGAACATAAAACAAATTCTGTCACAGCAATCCCAAAGCCAAAAAACTCACTTACACACACACACACATACAAAAAAACAGAACAAGAACGAAAACATGTTTATAGTCTAAAAATAGACACTGACCTTAGGAGGAGACAAATGAAGTTTATTCTCGTCCATGAGAAGGAAACTAGACCCCTAGTATCAGAACCAGAAACAAAAGAAGTGTTTTTATGTACATGAAAAGAGCATCAAGTAAATAGAGAAGTTTATATAGAAGGCCAAATTAAAGAGGGTCACAATCGAGGACGGAAATGACAAGAAAAAAATGCAGAGCATTTTGCCGGTGGAATTGGGACACATAGTGGTGTTCGTCTAGGCTGATTGATCGATTTTCTTGTGCAATGTGGAGAATTCTTCGATTTTGGGCATAAACTGTTTGTCTTAATGCTCTTTAGAATGTAAAGCTTGAAAGTACCGTAACATTATAAACAAAGAAATACTAAAAGAATTTTAAATCTTCTCTAGTGCCCGCTTCTTTGCTTGCCCACATTCTAACTAAGGTAATTTGTTAAATATTTGACAGAGACAAAAACTTTTTTTTTTTAATTATAAATTGCTCATTATATGTAAAAAAAAAAAAAAAAAAAAAAAAAAAAAAAAAAAAAAATTGAACTCACTTGTAAACATAAGGGACCATTTTTGTCATCTTCTCAGAAAAATTACTACCTTCGTTTCAATTTGTATGACGTGGTTTGACTTGGCACAAAATTTAAGAATTTTTTTTTTTTGAAATTTGTGGTTCTAAAAACTTAAAGGGGTAAAAGTTTTGTATAATCATAATTTGTGTGTCTGTAAAAGCTCTTTATTAAGGGCGGAATGGGTAAATCAGAAATTTTAAAGTTAAATTATTTATATATATATATATATATATAATATTATTCTTTTTGAAATGAACTAAAAAAAATTGTGTTACAAAATTTAAAACGAAGGAAATACTAGGTAAGTACTTTTATATATTAATTTGATAAGTTATGCGATTATGATTTTGATGATTTGTCAAACTTCGTTGAGGAACATTATACAATCAGTTCCTTTGCGCCTATTGTGACATGCTCAGTTGTCTGACTAAACTCTCAAGAAACCAGATAAGGAAACAACTAAGGGAACATATAGGATCAGTTCCTCAACTGTCGTACAGTCAACTCTAAAGTTGTAAAAGTTGTGTCACTTTACTAACCGGTAGCAGTGCAGCGGCACAGCCGCTGCTGCTAGAGGCCAAACCAAAAGTTGTAATGTCCCTATCACTTCACACATGCTCTCCCATATATAAACAACGTTATACAAGGTTTGACCTAACACTTAATAATCTGAAAAACCTATCATCTCAAGTGTCAGTCACCACTGTTTCCTCAAGGTGCACTCAAGAACAAAGCTGCTACAAACTAAGAACCAGATCCCAACACTGAAGATGTCTTGAGTCCTTAAGTTTGTTATGTCTTTGTCTTTTGTTCTTTACTTGTATTCCTACATGATTTTCTAGAAGTATTTTGTAGGACATCATTTAACCATTATTGTTTTGGTTGTTTGACTAGAGTTAGTCAAGAGTATTGCTTTGTAATAGAATTATTGCAAAGGGCTTACAATAGAGTTATTGTAAGGGGTCGGGGATTAAGAGTTTAATTCTTAGATTGCAATAGGTTGTAATCTGAAGTTTGCTCAGTTTAGTAGAGTTGAAATCCTACTTGGAGTAGGTCGTGATTTTTAATCCCTTGAGCAGAGAATTTTTCATGTAAATATCGTGTGTTCTTTACTTACTGCTTGTTTACTATAAGAACTAATAAAGAACTCGGTTCTCTATATTATTTGGTGGACCCTTAGTTTCTATCAATTGGTAATAGAGTCGGTTCTTTCTAAAATGTTAACACCTAAAAAGGATCTTCACCATGGCTGCTCCACCAAACCTCAAGGAAGGACAATCAACCACAAGACCCCCAAGATTCAACAACAAGTACTATTGATGGTGAAAAATAAGAATGCATGACTTCATCGTTGTTGAGGCTGTGGGGCGTGATTTGTGATGGTCTTTTTGTTCCCATGAAAGCTAGAGGAGAAGGAACAAGGACTGTCCCAAAAATAAGAAAAGAATACAACGGTGCTGATAGAAAGGCTATTGAAAAGGACTTCAGGGTAAAGAAGATTATTGTTTGTGGCATTGGACCAGATGAATACAATCGCATCTCAGCATGTGAGTCTGCCAAGGAGATCTAGGAAGCTCTCAAAACTGCCCATGAGGGAACTACTCAGGTTATGCAGTCCAAAATTGATATGCTTACTACTGAGTATGAGCTCTTCAAAATGAAGGAGGATGAGTCTATTCAGGATATACACACACGCTTTACCTTCATTATTAATGAGCTACATTCTCTTGGAGAAATCATCCCAACAAACAAGTTGGTCCGGAAGATTCTCAACATTCTACCAGGTTCCTGAAAAAGTAAAGTGAATGCCATCACTTAAGCCAAGGACCTGCAGAAGCTGACCATTGATGAACTTACTGGAAATCTCAAAACATATTAGATGAAGAGGAAGAAAGATCTTGAAAGAAGATAGCCCAGGAAGAAGAAGAATTTGGTCCTCAAGGCTGCCAACAGTGACCCAAGTAATGATGAGTCTCACATGGATTATCTCACTCGTAGATTCCAAAAGTTTCAAAGAAATGGAGGAATTCCCAAGAGAGGAAGTTCAAGCGGAAACTCCAAAAGAAATGATTGTTGTCATAAGTGTGGAAAGACAGGACACTTCATTAAAGATTGTCCTCTTCACATGAAAGATCACTACAAAAACAACACTCACAAGGAGGCCAAGAGGAACCTGGTCCCTAACATGAGGTTCAAGAGAAAAGATGTTGCTGACAGTGCGATGAAGCAAGCTCTGGCTGCTTGGGTAGATTCCTCCAGTAAATCTGAAGGTGAAGATGACCAAGGAGATACGTCCGTGATGGCTGTTGAAAAATGGATCTTCAGAATATGATTCTATATTTGCATTCATGACGTGATGATGAGGACAAGGAGGAAGATGAGGTAAATTTTCTTGATGTTCAAAGAAACTTGAAAAATTACTCTCAAAGGAAACTGATGTCTTTAGCAAATGTTTTGATTGATGATGCTTATCATAACCTTATTAATGAGAAAATGCATTAACTGAGGAAATTGGTGATGTAGAACAAAAGAGATATGATATAGTGGTTGTAATTGTAGATCTAAAGGAACAAGTGGAAAAGATAACTAGAGAAAATACTTTATTGAAAAATCAAATGGAAAATATATGAACACCCCAAAGGGAAAAGAAGTGGCTAGTGAGGCTTAAATTGAGCTTGAAAGCGAGCTCAAGAAAGATAAAATAAGTCTTGTTGCTGAGCTTCAAAAGAACAGACAACTTCAAGATGACCTAAAAAGGTTAAAATGATCTTGATAAGTCACTTAAATTGACCCGATCCTCTAATGTAATAATATCTATGTACAAGGGTAATGGTAGAAACAAGCAAAGAATCGGGTTCTAGAAGGCTAAAAACCTTTATAACCCCCATAGCAAGTATGTAATTGTGACTGATAAGTGGTTTTATACTCACTGTGGTCAAACTGGTCATTACAAGGATTTTTGTAAACCTAAAATTCAATCTCTACAGAAAAATAAAGTTTTTTGTTGAAAAGAAGCCTACTATTGAGGAACCTGGTCCTCTATAAAATAAATACGTGCTGCTTGTATGGACAAAAAAGAGTTTGATTCACCTATTCTATTATTACAATGGACCCAAACTGACTTGGATTCCTAAGTCTAACCAGTGATTTTGTATGCAGATTAGAGTGAGAGGTAACAGTAAAAAATGATACATGGATAGTGGTTGCTCTAAGCATATAAATGGAAGAATGGATGATTTCCTCTCACTTTAGGCCTTCCAAAATGGGAATGTATCCTTTGGAAATGGCTAGAAGGGCTATATTTTGTGTGTTGGCAAAATTAGCAAAACACTCTCCCATGCAATTGAAGATGTGTATTATGTGAATGATTTGAAATATAGCATGTTGAGTGTGTCCCAAAATAATGACAAAGGAAATGAAGTGAAGTTCTTGTCAAAATCTTGCACTGTCACCAATCTTAAAAATGGTGAAGTTGTATTGATAGCAAAAAGGTTCAAGAAAATCTATGTTGTAGATTTTGACTCCCTGAATGGTGGTGATCTAACATGCTTAAGTGCCATTGATGATGATGCTGAGTTGTGGCACAGACGACTGGGGAATGCAAGCTTTACCTTGTTGAACAAGTTGATCAAGAAGGACATGGTTAGTAGGCTGCGCAAGTCAAAATTCAAGGACCATAAAGTGTGTGATGTTTGTGCAAAAGGAAAGCGGTTCAGGTCCTTGTTTAAATCAAAGAAAGAAGTAAGTACCTCAAGGCCACTAGATCTTCTTCATATGGATCTTTGTGGACCTATAAGGATACCTAGCCGAGGGGGAAAGAAGTAAATCTTTATGATTGTGGACGACTATTCTAGATTCACATGGACTTTGTTTATGAGGACCAAATATGAAACCTTTCCAGTATTTATTGCATTTGTAAAACATATTCAAGTGAAGATGGGATATCATGTTGTGAATATCATATTTGATCATGTAACTGAATTTGACAATGCCAAGAATTTTGTGCTGAAAATGATATAAGTCATAATTTTTTATGCTTCTAAAATACCTCAGCAAAATGGTATTGTGGAGAGGAAAAACAAGACTCTTGAGGATATGGCTATAACAATGTTGATCGAATGTGGTGTGCCTAAGAGTTTTTGGGATAGAGCAGCCAACACTGCCTGCTACTTGATTAACAAGTGCATGATCAGGTCCCTGCTTGACAAGACTCCCTATGAACTGCTCAATGGGAGAAAACTTAAGCTAACTTACCTAAGAGTTTTTGGATGTAAATATTTTGTTATCAACAATGGTAAGGAAGCTTTGGAAAATTTTGATGCAAAAAGTGATAAGGGTATCTTTCTTGGTTACTCTTGTCAAACCAAGTCATACCAAATGTTACATCCCGTACTTTTATATGTTGGGATTTGTCGTAAGTCAATTGACATAAGTTCAAGGATAAGATTATTTTTGAGGTTATGAGTGATTATGTTAAGTTTAGAAAGTGTTGAGGAAGTGTCGTAAGGATTAGATGTCAACAAATCAAAGAGAATAAGTTTCGTCAGTGTAATACCCCGTGCTTTTAGGTTGTGGCTTGAGCCGCTCGACATACGTAAGTAGACCCGAGATGCAAAGAATTTTGGTCATATTCAAGTATGCAATTAAAAAGATCGGTGTATAATAAGATGAAGTCCTGAAATGATGTAGGACTTAAAAGTGTAACAACGGTGATTGGGAATAATATTTGGGGTGTATAAGGAGACTATAGACTAGAATTATACCGCACGATAGTG